AACGGATGGGAACGAGACTAGGGAAGACCGCGAAAGAGACTGGCCTGTGTTGACGCCGTCGAGACCCTGGGTAAGACGCTTAGTGTCGGGCGAACAGGTTCTTCGCAAGTGCGATATTCGCAGGTTAACAACGTTGTTGATAACATGCGAATAACTTAGCCTAGTTATTCACTCTGCGATTATCTTGAGCGCTTATATAAGCGCCTTGCAGCAGATGCGAGATCGTCGAGGGCGATTATAAGTAGATATTCCCTACCCCTGACAGACCTGGCAATGCTGCCGCTGTCAGGATCCCTTCTCGTGAAGATCTGTCGGCTCGCCTCACTCAAGTACGAACTCACTTGGAGGCTCTTCCCACCTCCGCCAGATAATGTCTATGATTTCGGCGCACTCACTCTCCCGGTCTGAAAGACCAGTCATGCCCCCTGAGTCTGCTTCTCATCCCAAGGGAAAGGGGAACGGAGTTGCGGCGCACAAAGGAGGTGCGACGAGAGTACTCCAGGAGGCCAACTGGATGATGGGCAGGAGACGATTTGCCTGTATTATGGAATAAGCGCCTATGCTAACAACTGCTATCAACTCTGCGAATAACTTCGACACTCCCCGTCCTAGTCGGTTGATAACGCTGCGAAGATCTCGTCTGGAGTTCTTTGCCCAACACTAAAGACGCTCTCGATCGTAACTCTTGCTTCATGAACGATACGCGTTGGGCGGCAAAGTATGCCTTCGTCGGAGTGCAATTGAGCAAGAGATTCTGGGTTGATTCCACGACGGCGATGGGAACGCCGGCGTGAGTGGCCACGATGAGGCAGAATTATAGCCGATCTGCATGGGCAGAGGTTCGCCGAAGCAGAGACGTAGAGCGTGTACTATTCGGCGTTGCACGTTGAGCGTTTTGCACTTCGTAGAGCTACTCGAGAGTGACAGCGCAAGAAGCAAGCGCAGAGGAAGAGCTAGGCGCTACAAGAGGCCGGGCGGCAGATGCCGAGAGGATTGTTGAAGTTAGTAAGTATGGAGCTTTGGTTGCTCAAACGCTGGTCCATGATACACCTCAGGAGGTCAAAGTCACGAAGAACCCAGCGTTCCGACGTTTACTGGGGGAAATACTAGTCGCATCTTCTACCGCGGTGAGAGCTCCGTGATGCGGATACGCCCAAGTCGAGCAAGCCATAGATCGATGTACACGGAAGTAAAAGAGTTTCATCTCAAGGCTCAATATAATCGCGAATGTCGGGATCTAGTCACTCATTTGTATCGAATGGCAGAAGCACCTGCAGTGGTACGCAATGGATATCAGCACCCTCGTACTTTGCCCAAAACCGGCGTCATGCCTCACCTGGGAGATACGCCTTGCGATCGCGAGCTTAACCTCCTTAGAGAAGGGTACTATGCTACCCGCCACCTTCGTTGCACACTTAGAACAACCGGCCGGTCCCGATATGGTTCCTATGAACGTCATGAGGAGGTCCTGCGAAGTGGCTAGCGAAGGTTTCACTTCGCTCTTCAGCATCTCTCGCAGCCTCTCCAAGTATTCCATCAGCACCTGCGGGTACTCCTTGACTCTCCAGGGCCCCTTGACCTTCACCTCCAGGCATCCTCGGGGAAGAGAGCAGTACTTGTCCCCGCAGCTGAACGTCACGAGGTCCCAGCAAGCGCTCTCCGGCATCCAAGTCGGAATACGGCCCTGGGTGGGGGTCACAGCGTCGGACGCCGCTGCAGAACACGCCTTGCGGTAGTCGAAGAGGTAGCAGAGGCCTACTGTGCGACGTCTTCTAGACGGTAGGCGCAGGCCAGCGCGTACACGCTCAAAGCGTGCGTCTCGAGGATCGCCGGGGAAAGGAGGGTACGGCGCATGTGGCTTGTCACTACCTGCATATGGTACTTCTTCCCTGCTTCGAGAAGGTCGCGGATGTGGACGATGGCAAGGGGTTCGCCGACGTCGGACTCGTAATGGTAGCATAGGTTAAGGATACGACGCCATACGGACCTCAGTTCCGTGACGTCTACAACGGGTTTGCCCATGGAGCTGTCATGGGGTTGGGGTACGGATAACATGTCTGCGAAAACGAAGGAGATGTGGGCGATGAGAAATTTGTGTATGTGGTATTCGCCCCCGTCGGAGGTTCGTATTACGAGATCACCATTGTTAGCATCCTCGTATGGCGGCGAAGTTGCCATCTCAGCTCAGACGGACGGGCAGTAGAAGTTACCGAAAGGAAGACGGGACGAAGAGATGAGATAATTAGTCGAACCTTTGCAAGTGTCGTTGCTTTCTGAACCCTACCGAAGCAACGTTGATCTTCACATGAGAGAGGAACATCAAAGAAGTGCACATAAAGCGGAACATAACGGGTCAGAGAAGCCTCTCATTCAACCATGTGCAGGTCCAATGCATTAATCTTACCCCTCTGTTCCCGAGTAAGGAACCCAACCACGAAAGGTACGGAGCGATAGCATGTCTTCTATTCGAGCCCTGGGATGATGCTCGAATGTGTGAGCTAGGAAACACATAGCAATCAGTGATCAGTGAACGGCGTACTTTGGGGTTGTTTCATTGTGGGTGGTGGTCATCATGGCCTGGATGACTCGAGATGCAGCGCCAGAACAGAAACAACGTATACTTGAATTTTCTCATGACTTATACCTTGGTAACATCTACGATGCACCTTGCGACGAGCGGTGGACAAGTCGGACAGCCAGTCATCCAGTGATTCCGGGCAGCATGGAAGCCCGGCATCAGCTGGTGAGGGGGGAAGAGCAGGAGGAAGCGGTGATTGATCAAAAACGCTCACAGAATCTGACATTTGTGCCCATTTTGATAACCAGGAGCGTTCAAGCGCAGGAACGAGACTCTACGGAGAACGAGCGCGCAGGACTGCGGATGACAATGGGCGCTTATGGTCCTTTCGGCAGGCATGAGCCGAAGGTAGCCGAGGGGACGGGCGCTTCCCAGTGGGCGCTTCCCAGTGGGCGCTTCCCAGTGGGAAGGGTTGTGAAGTACGTGCAGCTTGGTTCTTTCCCCATTTTCCAAGTATTCACGAAAGCGGCAAGCAAATGACCCACTCCAGCATCGCAGACAAACGCTGTTCTGTCAGAAATTCGACCTGGGGTTCGCATCGGTGCCTTCCGTGCATTCAAGCCTCGCACCGATCACTGGCAGTCAGTCAAGTCTCGGCCGCCATGGTATATAACTCCTCGTCCCGCAATCCTTTCGACAAAGCCTTAGGCGAGGTAGGCTGCTTGAATCGTATCCCTTCCGGCTCGAATCATTTTTGGTCAGTCAGTTTCTCTGATTTATGCTGGACAGTGCTCAATAGTCGATGCCGTAGCCATCATGAGTCGAATCTGTCCTCCTAGTTCCCATAACCAATCCCGCTCAATAGCTATCGTCGGAATGGCGAGCACATTTCCCAACGCGCCAAATCCAGAGGTCCTGTGGGACGTCTTGCTTGGCGGACAAATCACTGTTGCTGAGGTGCGATACTGTCTGTCACTATCCGTATAACATGAGCTCAAAGCCGTGTCAAGGTTCCTCCCGAGCGCTTCAGTCTATCGGAGCAACAAGAAGGTGATGCGGAGTCGAGTCGTGATCCTCACACACTCCGTGGCAATTTCATCGACCAGCCTGACATCTTTGACAACGCCTTCTTCCATGTTTCTCCTCGCGAGGCTCAATCCATGGACCCTCAGCAACGCTTGCTCTTACACGTCGCTTATCATGCACTCGAGAATGCAGGATACATACCTAATGCTACCCGCTCGTGGAATCCGGAGACGTTCGGTACCTTTGTGGGCGTGGCCACCAACGACTATGTACACAACCTACGGAGCAACATTGATGTCTACTACAGCACTGGTGCGCCTCAGAAAATAGGACATTGTGCATCATTCTGACGTCGAATTTGTTGACGTTGTATATAGGAACGCTCCAGTCGTTTTTGAGCGGGAAGATTGCATATACCTTCGGTTTCGGTGGCCCGGCTCTAGTGCTTGACACAGCATGCTCGTCTTCCATCGTCGCGATCCATCAGGCATGTCGAGCGTTGCAGAATGGGGACTGTAACGCCGCGCTAGCTGGTGGGGTGAACGTCATCACCAGCCCTGATGTACGCCGTCTCACAAGGATGACCGTAACTCTCAGCTAACTTCCGGCAGATGTACCTCGGGCTGTCTCGAGGACATTTACTCAGCGAGACAGGCCAATGTCGCCCGTGGGACGCTTCGGCAGACGGGTACGGTCGCTCGGAGGGGTGTGGCCTATTCGTCTTGAAACGCTTGGATGACGCCGTCGCGGATAATGACAGGATATTAGTCGTCATCCGCGGTGCAGAGGTCAACCAGTCGGGGAACGCTCGATCCATCACCCATCCGCACATCCCAACCCAAGTCGCGCTTTTTGAAAGACTCGTCGCTTCCACTGGTGTACACCCCAACGACATCAGCGTCGCCGAGTGTCATGGAACGGGCACGGCGGCTGGGGACCCCGCCGAGCTGGAGGCCGTCCGTAAAGTCTTCGCGGTTGGGCGCGCTCCTGATAACCCGCTCCACATCACGTCGGTGAAGGCGAACATCGGACATGCTGAGGCTGCTTCGGGCGCTGCGAGCTTGGCAAAACTTATCTTGATGTTCCGCGAGAATTTGATTCCACACCACCCTTCCTTCGAGAGGCTGAACCCACAGATCCCTGACCTGTCCGTGGACAACGTCCGGATAGACACCACAAACGTACCGTGGACCTCGGAGGGCCAGCGGCTCGCGCTTCTCAATAACTTTGGTGCGTCTGGCTCGAACGCTGCGCTGATCCTCGAGGAGTACGTGGCTTCTCCGAGACCTCAGAATGTCTCTCTACGTACTGGCGCAGTCGTTGGATTGGCGTGCAAAAGCTCCGCTGCCACTGAGAAGATGCGGGATGCCTACATCGCGCAGCTCGAGGCCTCCGAGGGGGACGCTACCGCGCTCCACGATTTTGCATACTCTGCTACTGCGCGGAGACAGCTCCATCCATTCCGCATTGCGGTGGGCGGGACGTCGACATGCGAGATCCTGCAAGCCCTTCGTGATGCACCTGTCGTCCAGGTCCTTCCTGCCCAACGTGTGGTGTTCGTTTTCTCAGGGCAAGGGTCGCAATACGATGGGATGGCGGCTGAACTCTACCGGGAGTTGGAACTCGTGTCCAGGATCGTAGATGGGTGCGACCGCAAGCTGATAGAGTGGGGCTTCGTCGGCATTCTCGACGTCTTTCGCGCACCGCAGCCGGCTCAACGGAGTCATGACCCGCGGCATATCCAGGCTACACAAGTCGCGCTGTTCGTCTTGGAATACGCGCTAGCACAGCTGTGGATCTCATGGGGCGTTCGTCCCGTCGCGGTGGTTAGTCATAGGTATGTTCCCTTCCCATCTCCTTGAGATTGTATGTGACCGAGCCCCATCGCAGCTTCGGAGAGTTCGTTGCATTGGTCGTCGCAGGCGTCATGACACTCGACGACGGGCTGAGGCTCGTTGCAACTCGTGCGAGGCTCGTTTACGAGAAGTGTACACCAGGCGAGACGGGCATGACCGGAGTACACGCATCTACAGAGCAGTTGGAGCCTCTACTCGCAACGCTCAGTGGCTTAGAGATCTGCTGCTATAACGGGTACGTCCCGTAGCTATCCCCATCACTACATCTCTGAAACGCTCCTCAGCACAAGCCACAATACCGTCGGCGGGCCGCTTGCAGAGCTCCAGCAGCTTGAATCGCTGTGCAACGATCGCGGATACCAATTCAGGCGTCTTGACATAGCTCTCGCCTACCATTCCGCCGCGATGGATCCAGTCCTGGACGATCTGCGTGAGGCCGTCAAGGGCATCAAACTCAAGCCACCTCAGATCGCGGTCCACTCCAACGTCCATGGGACGCTGGTATATCCCGGCGCTACGATTGCGTACAGTGCAGACTACTTCGCGCGGCACTGCCGGGAACCCGCGCGTTTCAGCGCTGGGATCGTCGACTTTCAGGCTCGCTTTTGCCCGTCGGACATTGCAGCGTTCATCGAGGTCGGGCCACAACCCACCACTCTGTCATTCCTCCGCAATCTACAGCAGGAGGGTGCCCCTCTCCTGCTGCCGTCCCTGCGCAAGAATGCTTCCGACATCGGTGTGCTGTGCAGTACCCTGGCAAAGCTGTACTGCACGTCCGTACCGGTGCAGTGGAGCAAGGTGTTCACTAATCTCGCTCCGGAGGCGAGATTGGTCGACCTTCCCCCGTATCCGTTCGCCGACACGCGGTTCTGGACCCCTTACGAAGAGCGCCGTTCGGCAGTCGTCGCCGCTGCTGGCTCGCCGAATCAGCAGTGGGACGCATCTTCCATGGATGAAACATCGCAGGCGTCCGCCTCCGAGGTCAGTCTCGACGACCTCGCAGAGCTGATACAGGGGCATGAGGTTGCTGGCTTCTCCCTTTGTCCGGCTTCTGTCTATGCGGATCTCGTGCTGTCCGGGGCGAAGCGTGAATTGCGAAGGCACTCTCGGGAGATGATGGAGGACGTGATTGACCTTGTGGACGTTTCATTCCCCGCCGCTTTGGTATACGTCCCGGACCGACCCAGGAGGCTGCTTGTCAACATCGACATCGACGTCTCTCAGAAGTATGCGGGCTCTTTCAGTATAACGTCGATCGATGTGCATGGGGGAGACGCGCAGACGCATTGCAGCGGCGTCTTGAAGAGGACTACCCTGAGTACCAGAAATTCCAAGTTTCTCTGCGCGCGCGGGCTCATAGAACGGGAGACGAAGCGAATCTTGGCTGCGCCCGCCGCGGAGACCTTCAGCACCCGAACGGTCTACGATCTTCTCTTCCCTCAAGTCGTCCGATACAGCGAAACCTATCGCGCGATTCAAGCAATCACGGTCGACGGCGAGTCGTTGACCGCGTATGCTATCTGCAGATTGCCCAAAGCGAAGAGAGTCCGGAGGCCTCCACAAGCTTCTGTCGTCAACTCCGTCTTCGTGGACACACTCTTTCATGTCGCCGGCTTCCTGGTGAACTTCACATCCGGAATGAACTGTCGCGACGCGTTCATATGCTCCCGCGTCGACAGGGTCAAGGTGCTTCCGGACCTGATCGACCCCTCCGCTTCGTATGGCGTCTATGCGTCCGCTGTGCGTCTGGACGATGCACACGTGGTCGTCGACGTCTACGCTGTGGCAGTGGAGAGTCCTGAAAAAGCGGTAGTAGCCAACCTCAAGAGAGTGCATTTCCGTCGGGTCGCGCTGACGGGCTTCACGAAGATGCTGGCTTTGACTTCGGATCGTCCAATGGACGACGCCCTCATCGCTGACGCTGACGTCGGGTCTATGATTTCGACTGCCGGACGCTCCCCAGCCCCGATAGAGGGCGACGCTCTGCATGCTTGTGTTCGTCGAGTGATCTCAGAGACGTCGAATATAACGCTCGCCGACATTTCGCCTGAAGCAGAACTGTCGAAGCTGGGCATTGACTCACTCATGACTTGGGAAATAGTAGCGCGCCTGCGTTCTCTCCTCCCTACTTCCAGCCGCCGGCTCGATCCGCTGCTCTTCGCAAATGCGACCACAGTGGACGATCTCATCCGCGTAGTCTCTGACCATTGCGATACTGGAGAAGCGCCTAGCGCTATCGCAGTACGGGCTAGTCTCGACAGCTCGAGTACTCTGAACGAGGAGAGCAGCTGGAACGAGGATAGCAGCGGTGAGCCCGTCTCTGCAAAGACCATCGGCCCTGAGATCGTCAAGGGCCTCGGCTCCAATGCTCCGGACCTGCCGCAGCTAGATCTCGTCGAGAACGCCGGGGAGCTCGTGGATCGTCCTGAAGCTATCATGTCGCTCGAATCGCGCAGCGATATCAAGCCAGGATCGGGAGGCGACGTCAGATACAGCATATGGCGACTTCAAGATCCAAATCGAACGCTTCCTCCATCCTCCTGCGGGCTATTGCGTACGAATGTTCGGACTGCACCCTTCCTATCGCTCGAGTCTCGAACGGGCACAACTCCCCTGTTCCTCGTCCACGATGGAACTGGACTGATCGGCGGCTACTCCAAGCTAGCGCCCCTGGGACGGGAGGTTTGGGCCATCCGCAACCACAGTTTCGCGGACACGTACGCGCAATATTCGGTATGCGACAGTGAACGGGAGCTCAATACTTTAGTGAACGCGTACCTTGCTATGCTGACCAGGAATTTCTTCGATGGCGAGCTTGGGCTGGGAGGGGAATGCTTGATGGGTGGTGAGGAGACACGCTTCCTTTTCGCCAATGTTTTGCTAATAGACAGTTTCCCACGTAGGGTGGTCTTTTGGCGGCGTAGTCGCATTCGAGCTCGCGCAATCATTGCTGCGTATGGGGATTAACGTCAAGGGCCTCATCCTAATCGATGCGCCGGCGCCACAAACAAGCAGTCCATTCCCAGACGCGCTCATCGACTCGGTAGTAGAGCGAATGGATCCTGCACACCGTATCGCAGAACACCTGAAGGCACAGATGAAGCGTGCGACACGGACCCTGGTGGCGCATGACCCGTGTCTCTCCACCCGCAACTTGAGACGCATTCCCGCCGTCTACCTGAGGTCTCAGGAGGGAATGGATATCACGCTGTGCGATGCGGAGGTTGACTCACGCGTGCAGGCATTCTTGAATAAGGAGAACGATACGTGGACGATCCCCCAATGGAAGACGGCTTTAGGTGGGGAGATGGAAGTGCTGGATATCCCAGGGGACCACTTGTCGGTCTTTGATCAACGGAATGTAAGTTCTCACGAGATCTCCTTGGCTAGTAGGACCTAACCTAGTCACTTGCAGGTTGACGAGGTGTCGGAGCAACTGAGGAAGGCGATACAGATCCTTCTGTCGACCTGATGAAGACCCCGATGCAGTTGTATAATGCCATATATATTCCTGAGACTTCCTTCCCAAGCCTCAGCATTATCTTGGTTAGCGGACACATTAGCACACGAGTTTCGATGTCTATGTCACGCCGACTGAGTCCTCTTACAGTAAAGAGCCAAGTCGACGCATTGTAATACATGCAGACGACAATGGCAACATCCGTGCCACGCATAGCGTTCTGAACGTTATATAGACGCTCTTCGAGCCGGGGATTTGATCGCGGAGACTTTGGTCGTTGATCGCAGACGGGCGAGGGCGAGCACGGCGCGTGCGTGGCGCAGTTGAACTGCAAGGTGACGGAGCACTTCAGGGAGCACGTCGAGGATGCGACATCTTCACTACCTGCAGAGAGGTGGAGTGCCCCGCCTGTCACAAGAAAGACAAGGTAAACCACCTTTCCCGACACGTGAAGCTTGAAGCTGAAGCTTGAAGGCGGAGCACTGGAATGCGAGGTGCACCTCGCCCGCCTAGGACATACAGTGCTCAGAAGGGCTGATGGTTTTTGGTAACATGTAGAACGAAGCCGCGGTAGTACGTTCAGCTTCTCCCCGTAATCGGAGCTGCCTCTCGTGGCTCGGGCCAGGGTAGAGGGCCATTGGAGAAGAAGGCGTGGCACGGGGCGTGGCGTTTAGAGGACGAGTTACGAGACTGGATGACCCGGGGCTGCCTTCGAATTCTACTTGTGTACTATCTATGCGTTGAGTTCTATGCTTCTCTGTTGCTGCTGTAATTTTCATAATTGATCCACCCCATTCCATCACGAAAGAAATTGTCTCGTGATGTTCAAACTTCATCACTCGTCGTCGCTCTCGTCTAGATCAATCATACGTCCTTCTGACGATCCGATAGCCCTTCCAAACGCCTTCCTCTCTTCCCCTTCGAGCTCGTCGTCACTGTCTGGGAACGCTAAAGGGGTGCCCACATCTTCTGCGTAGTCCAGAGCACCATCATCAGCTGCAGGCGGAGGGGGGTCCATTGTCTCGGCAGGCGGAGCCTCCGGCTGTCGAACACAGGACTGCCTCTTACCGGGATGCGGTCCAAGCTCGATTTTGCGGTTCGCCGTCAGAGCAGCAAGGGCTTCCAGCTGCGATAGAGCATTGAGCTGAAATACAATGCGTGTCTGAAACGTGTTACTATACCTTGCTTTGCGCGCCCACATGCCTCGCACCCCTTCCGTCCTTAGCAGTGGGGTCAAACCCAAGCTGCCTGATCAGCCCCGCCGAATATGCGCTCTTTCGTCTATCACCGTCTTCGTCTGTCTTTGCGGTATTCCGCTCAGACTCGTTCTTCGCCGCCGTCTTTCCCGACCCTTGTGCCCTTGTCCCCGCTTTTGCCTTGCCCTTACTCGCTTGCTCCAACCCCTCCGCCCTCCGTTTCGAGAATTCCCGCGCAGCGCTCAGCGCCCTCGTTCCCTCCTTGTCTCGAGCTAGCAACTTCTCCAGTGCTTTGTCTGTATCCGCCGCCGCCACCTTCCGCACTGCCTTCGCCTGCGCGTCTCTGCCCATGTTCTCCCCAATGTACATCGACCCCGAGTCTGAGCCAGACACGATGTGCCCTGAGACTACGTACGTCGCTCC